AAAAAGAATGAAAACCCTGTTAAAACAGTAAAAAATGAACCCAGTTAGGCCCGGACGAGCTAATGATATATAGAAAATAGAAGAACGAAGAGTGTTGCCATCAACTAACCGCATTTACATATACGAGTTAAAAAACACCATCACAATGGCGTTCCTATCATAACATAACGACTGCAAAAAATACTATTTTTCTCTTGACATATTCAAATTACCCAAAATGGGTGATTTCACCCCCTCTGAGAACTACCGCTCCGAAATGTTGTCGGGTGATTGTGGTTATAGTCAGAGAAATAGCTGACTTTCTGAACCTCTCCTGAACAATGGACCGACTTTTGGAACGAAGCGACGAATTTGATAGGGAGAGCGAGTAAGGGATTGTCATCACATTCCCTCTTATTATTATCCAGCTGCAGATCAGTTTAGTCGTGTACAGTTCAAAATTGTGCTTGCATTTGATGTAGAGTTATGGCTTTTTATATTTGATCATTACTTGAGGCTTCGAGTCCAGAAGTGAGAAAATTATGCCTTGTTAAGTTGAATACGTTTTCCATGGTAAGTTACAAGGTTAGGTGCATTCAATTTCATTTTTTTTTGATTAGAAATACTCTAGTTGAAATAAAGAATTCTACAACATTCGAGTGATTGTACAGGTTTGATTAATGCTCTGCTATCGTTTATTTTTTGGATATTTCAATTCTGGAGATCCGGAAAGAGATATATACAAGGAATTTTAAAATTAGAAGTTTACGAAAAATGTTCTTTTTTGGAATGACAGGGCTGAGGATTTCGGAACAGTGACATCAGTGGTATTACACAAAATCTATTTATACAAAAATTTTTAATCTTGCTCGTAGGAATACATATATTCACAATGGAGCATGAAAATAATCTAAGCACAATAATAATCATGCGCTAAAACAACTCTTCGCAAAATTTTTCACAATATTCATATCACGTTGCTATAAGCAACAAATAATATCGCACAGAAAAATTAATCACAAGAAAAAAGAAATATGACCTGCAACAATGATGAGTGAATGAATGAAAGAAATAAACTCGGTCAGGAACCAAAAATAATGGATTTAAAAAAAAGTATAATGACTGCAATTAACAAGTAATGAACTGAATTTAAAAAAATAAATCTGTCGAATTAAACAAATTGATGCAGTTATCAGACTGGAACGATTATGACGCATATCTTAACGTCCATAATCGAGCCATTTTCTCGAATTTCACGCGATCATTCAGATATTGTTCGGCAATTGTTGGAACAAGTGGATCTGCTGAAATCATTTAAATTTATCAAAAGAATGATCATAAATGAGTTAGCAGAAAAATTTGTTGTACGATCAACCCCGTAAACACATTAAACGGTAAGCACTGGCTGAACGTCATGGATTGCAGAGTGAATGTGTTAAAAACCTATTCAACATTCACTGAACGTGTCTTACAAGTCAAGACTCGTTAGCGAACATTAAAAATGTTTCCCTTGCCACAGAAACATGAAATACGAATTTGCCAAACGATTACTAAAACTGCCTCAACAATTGATTCCACTAAACGAGTGAAATATTATAGTCAGGTCTACGCATCAATTATTATTCACATGAATAAGAGATCGCAAAACAAAAAAAAAACAAGAATTATAGAATTGTTAATCGAAATGAACAAAAACAGTATGAAAAATGAACAATACCTGGATTGCAGACATACAACAGACTAACAATTGCTTGCAATATAGTTGAAATGGTCATTGATGGTGTCCATCCATGACGTAAAATATCTGCACAAACCATGCCACGACTTATATTACAATGATAGATTTGAGTTAGAAATACCACCTGAATTTTTGCAAATTACATTATTCACTACTGGCATCATTTTCGTAAAGCAATCAGTTTAATTCAAGAATGAATCAATTAGTTATGACCTCGAAAATAATTTGATTCTGGAACATAGTGAAGACTTAAATATCTCACAAGTAACGCAATCAGCAAGAATAACCGATTTTTCTACAACAAAACTGCTGCTTTTGATGATTTCCCATAAACGTGATGCAGTGAGTGCCATTCAAATTTCTTAACACGTGTATAAATACTTTGATTCTTTTTTGTATTTTCATGGTTCATCTTAGTGAAGAATTGGAGAGATGAATAAAGAGAGACGAATGAAAACTGAACTGAACATATGATTCGGCAAAACGCAACGCATACAAGTAAAAATGAATATTAATTCAGTGGATAATCTTGCTACTCGTAGAACGGATAACATTAAAATGCACCGTTGGCGGATGAAAAGGATAATCATCAGGAATGTGTAATTCGATGAAGAATATTCCACCACGATAAACTGTATCTTCAGGACCTTCGATCACCGCAACCCATTCAAATAAATCATCACCTTTCGGTTTAGCACAACATCCTTTTGGTGCGTTATGTTCCAACTGTTCTAGCTGCAATCTTATCAGTCACCTACCATTGCTTCAACAATCTTCACTAGTCAACAAAACAATTCAAATATCCGATGTTCACTTTGAAAATCTTCACTTATCTCAAAATTTCATTGAAATAACACCAACTTTAATAAGTTTATCGAACGGTACAATTTTTAATTATTTTAAAATTTGCAAAAATTGTTTACTCAAATAAATTCCGATGAATAACTATTAATTTTATGATGGAACAGTAACATAAAAATGGAAATAGAAAAGTTGAAGAATGTATTAGTGAAAAATAAGAATCATGTGAATAATTTGCATACTTCTCTCAACAATCTCCTTGAGATGGATGAGCATCTTATACTAACAGAGCAAGAATTGCCAAGAACACGACGATCCCAACCAGTTGACGTTTGCCAACATGATGCAGGTACAGAATTCTTAATTACGTTTGTTTAACATTAGCCACCTTATTTAAACGTGCAAATGCCATCCACTGTAGTGAATGTGTCGAGAAAATAAATCAAAACAAGTTTCAAATTAGCATGTACTATATATATATTGTAGAACGTCCAAAAGAGCAAATATTTTGTAGAACGTTCAAACGATCGAATATTTTGGTGTTGGTGCCGGCCAAAGAACTTACTCGGTTCTGAATATCTGAACCCTTAGGTAATGGCAAATTAGTGCGAGTTGTAAACTTCAGATCAGGACTAACATGAAAACCAACAAATATTCGAACTTCAAAAGACTCATGATGAGCAAACTCCTGCTTAACTTGCCTACAGATGGCACCTCTTTTCAAGTCAATCTCCGATTAACAAAACGCTCTAAAAGGACATCAGCGTATGTGCTCAAACACCAAATATAGAAAGAATGAGATGAAAAACTATGAAATGTGTAAATGAAAAAAAAGAACAAACCACGCAGTCCAATAATGAGCGTTCTCGTCTTATGGGAGCACGTGAATTTGAAATTACTGGTATATCCCGATTTGTTTCAATATTATTACGGCTAGTCGACGGTACAACAGATCCACTTGATGCTGGCTAAAGCCACACGAAATGATTAATTCCAAAGAGAGGTAACAAAAATACATCCGATGTTGAGAAAATGAAAACAGTAATAATAATTATAATGCAAAACGATCATAAACGAATGAAAAGAACATCAAAAGCACCTGATAATTGTCAATCGGTGAACGATCTCTTGATGCAGTCGAAACGGTGCGTCTTAAATTCATTGCTTTTTCAATAATCAGTTAAAGCGCTTGACATGGAATAAAGCCGTTCGGTGTGTGGGCCGAGCTGGACAATGGGCATGTACCAAAGCAGCATGAAGACAGAGAGAAAGCAACGCGCGACGGCGCTTTTCACACCTGTTGAAACAGAAGAGAGCACGTCATTTGAAGGAATGACTGAAAGATGCAAATGTTTTAAGAAATCTTATATATGGTTAGTTGGATAATGTTAGTGTAATTGTACATAACAAGAGGACGTAACAGTTTGCATGAACAAATGAAGAAAGTAATAAAAGATGTAAGGAACGTACTTGAGATGGAAAGAGAAACCACAGATGGACAATTCGTTCGATTGAAGCACCGTCAAACAAGCGGAGCATTCGAGCGAATGGAAGCACTATTTTGAGCTATCAAACTGATCTGTAGCTGTGTGGCTATTGTACATCTCCGGAAAAAGCTATAGCTGAATATACAAAGCACTCAATTTCAAGGTGATGCCAATCTCAATTACGATCAACATAACGACTATGCGTATCTTGTAGCGCTTGAAAATCTCTCATGGATGAGTTTCTTTCGTTTAAAATCACGGCACTTTTGTGCGAAACAGGAAAATCCTGTGATTCGTTTATGTAACCTTTATACTTTTAGTTCGCCAAATGTATATTTATTATGATTCAGAGTGGTTCAACAAATATACTTTTTGGACAGTTGTGTGCCTCTCGTAAACCAATCTTCAGCATGCATCTGGTGTTTCTACAAAAACGTCACTCGGAATTGCTGATTCGCATTGGTCAACTCAAGCAAGAAACCAGAACAAGTCAGAGGAACGCACGGTAACTAGCCGCGCCCACAGTTAATGGCAATTCTTGATTGTATTCTATTTTGCACCTGAGGTAAATTGATTATATCCGCAATATGAATGCAAACTCTAGCAGAATGTCTTCATGCGTGCGATGGCTGAGGCGTGTTCTAGACCGCACCACCTTTTTCCTTGACCTATGCTGCAGGATTACCCTGAATTGTGTTTTTATGCATCGAATCTTTTTTTGATATATCACTCATCATTTCTGAAATGTTTTAGTTCAGCACACTTTGTTTCAATGATTTCTTTCCTTTATCTCCGGATAATTACTGTTTATAAGACCGTTCCGATTGCTTGAGTAAGTGTTCTCTGTGCATCTCATTTCGGCGCAACGCGTTCGTGACTCCGCCCTCCTTCAGCCGACACGCGCATATGGCGAAGTGCGTACGCACCGTTTTGAGCCCGAGAAGTCGTTTGGTGAATGACGGAAGTGGATTGTGGAGGGTCGAGGTGCTTGAAGTGAGCAATGCTTCATCGTATTTTCTCTTCTTCATTATGGCATCGAAATTTGCTTTCGATGAAGTCATTACCGTCAGAATTTGTCTCTAAAGGTTCGTTATGATGACAACAAATAAGCACAAACTGTTTTCAAGTGCACGGTTTCACGGTGATCTGATGCTGAATTTTCTTTAACTGAGGCAAGAAGACTCCGAAAAACAAAATGCAATTGGTCATCGATAATAATGTAGTTTTGAAATTGGTTATTGGTTAAACTTGGCGGTTGTTTTTTTTTTAATTCCGTTGTATCCATTTATCTTTTTATAACCCCACTTTTTGCAGTTCATTATTCCGCACATCGTGCAGCTATTGCTAAAATTGGTCGAAAAGAATATATACGTCGATATCCTGTCACTGTACGTTTCTGTCTCACTCCAAATCAAGTCTATCTCGGCTCATTTTTATTGATTCTTAACCGGAACTGTATTATGAAGAGTAGTGAAATTCTAAATTTGCCACCAACACGCAGATTTTTCGTCTACTTATTAATGTTTCCACATTTCATGACTGCGTTTAATATTTATTGTCTGGTGTGATTTTGATTTGTAAACGAAACGATAAACAAATTAAAAATAAATAGAGGACCCGGTGGCCGATACACAAATAACATTTTCACTGGTGTTGTCGTCATGAATTGTTTTTTAAAAAAATTTAAGATACTGAGGGCAGATGGGTCAACGATAAAGATTCGAGTTGCAGAACCACGCGAATTTGTTCAGTTACCCGTGGATTTGGAAGCACTAACTGAGGATGAGCGGCGTCAACGATTAGCAGCCAGAAAACCGAAAGTGAAGCAAATTCATGAGGTTCGTATCTTATTTTGATTTCTTATTATCAGCAAATTTCTTTTCCGGCTGAATGAAGTTAAAAATAATGATTTCAAACGTATTGAATAAACGCTTAAATGACGTTTGAATTGGTTTTGTTTGAACCCACATTTCTTGTTATGATCTCAGCGGCATAATTCCACCTCTTCTGCGGTTATCACCCCGCGGAACATAGCATTAAGGTCGTATTTGTTTGAATAATAGGTATAATAGAAACACTATAAATTGGGTTGTATGACTCAACGCTGCCATCAATATTCTATTATGGTGGTACAATTTTCGAGAGAGTTAAATAGAGGTTTCATTTGATTTAGAATGAGGAGTGGAATGTTTTCTTTAAAATATCTTTCGCTTCTTTCAGGATGTAATTGATGACAATTTTGATTTAAATCAGTATTCACAACTGTGGATGCAAGCAAACGAATCAGGAAACTCATCAAATCGAAATTCTGTGAAAGCAAAAACGAAAAAACCTTCAACCGACGAAAAAACAAAACCGAAGAAATAGTGGTTATTGGAAATTTAGGCGACGACTGGTAACTATTAAAAGAATTCATTGTTTTCTTATGAAACAAACAACGATATTAAAAATTGTTCGTTAAAATACGAACATTTACATGTACATTACAAACATTTCTGAGGAACAGTAATAGAGAGTAATGCTCAAACGGTTCGCAAAGTTTGATAGAAGTCATCATAGAAATTAATGGACTAAATGCATGAAAAAATTTTGCAAACAATTGGGCAAAATTTGCTAAAATACAAAATAATATCGAAAATTTAGGGTTGTCGCAATGATGATGGATGAATTCGTATGATGTCCAGGTACTGAGCCCGAATGAATGTTTAGCAGTTCTTTTTATCCAAAAAAACACGTGAATAAAACAACTATGACTGATTATAATAGATGATGTTATCTCACGAAATAAACACTAATACACACGATTAAGCTGGTAGCATAATGCGAGCGGATAGACCAAAATTCAACATGGTGACTATGCAACGACAGCGAACTATTACAAATTACAAGAACGAGTGATCCAATGAAAAGATTTTCATTTCAATACACTACATCAGCATGTAACTTAAATAGAAATAGATCCACTTAAAAGCAGAGCGAATAGTTGCTAAGTGAAAAGGGCTTTTTTGAATGTCAAGAAAAGGATTCCCGCGCTCAAAAATGAAAAAAACAAGGCAACAGAATTTAGTAAAATTCGAACTGAAGTTTATTCAGTTTTTTGTCATTCCGACGTGTTATGTTCGGCTTGTCACCTATTTTAATTACTTATCATCGCTCATCTTGAATATTTTGTACAGCCAACTAAAATTTATCTCTAAAAAGAGAAACGAAAACATTGTCAACAAAAAAATAAACTACACAGGAGAAGTGAAAAAATATTACCGGATAATAGAATGGCCATGAATGTACAATTTCATTAATTATATGACAAAAACATTGACCATACGATGATGAACACAACGTGATTAGAGAAGAGATCGATCGACTGCGAAACCAAAACGTTATAATAACATTAAATTCAAAGACGAAGGCAACTGTAAAGACGTAGTTGAGGTCATTTGATGACATTGTTTCGTGCCACTTCTTTCATGATATTGCTGCTTCCGATTCACTGCATTTCGCAACTTTTCGTCGGTGAACGTCTCCATTCTGCACCATCTGCGTCATATTCTCTTCGACTGACGACACATCATTTTCCAGTTCTGATTCTCAAAAAGAATTATTGTTTCATTTTATTGAATCGTCATTCTTCGAAAAGCAACACTTACCAATAAATGAACAAAGATAAATACTTGGCATGGCTCATTTAATATTTCAGAATGATACATATGAATGAATTTTATATGCAATTCAAATTAAGTGATTTACCGCTGTGATGTGACGACTGATCAGCAGCATCATTGAAGTTCTCTCGATGAAGTGATTCCTTGCTACTGTTCGTGCTTGTGCGGGCACTGCTAGCACTATCACTCTCCTTTACGCTCTCAACTCTGTCACTAGATTCATTATTTTTCTGAAAATTTCCTAATGGGCACTTGCAATTGAAACGTCTTCAATTACTAATACAAAAAATCAATCATGAGAGCAGCGAATATCTGAAAGGATTCAGTATTCATTCAGTCGACGATCACTTCAATAGTTAAACAAGCGCATGGTTGAAAAACTGCTTATAGCACGATACACACAGGAAGTGAAGGTACCTTAATGGAGCTGGATGGATATCTGACGACGTCAGTAGTTTTGTTGGGAGGATTAGTAGAGTCGGAATAGAGCATCGCGAAGAATTTCGATACGATCATTTTCACTAAACTGGCCAGCAACCGTATGAGACCGATCAAAAGACAACCGATTAAATAAAAAATTGGTGCCACTAAAAAAATGAAGATTGCAATCAGTTGAGGTGTCGGTGAATATTCGACAGCCGCCGATGGGCATGGCATCTCAGCATCAATATCTCAGCAAAGAGCCAATTCCACAAACTGGTCAATACGTTGGACACTGAAACAAACAGAAGTCTGGAAATAACACTCACCAGATTGTTGCATAAAAAATCACTCAAAACATGATAAATTTTTGAATGAGTCGTCGTAGTGCGTCAGTATTCTTTAAGACATCAATTCTAGACAACAGTGGAACAGAATTCGTCACGTGACGTTGAATAGGTTTTTATGAAGAACTTATTTGAAATATCACGAGCTACGCTGGAGCATAAGACAATCTACATGCAATGAATAAACGCTTTTGAGCAGAGTCCGAAGACATTTAGCGAGGACGAAAACATAATTAGGATATGATTTTAAGAAATGAAACATTAGCTCTTATTTATATTTTCTGCTGTACACATCGTCGTGTATAAACAAGATATTTAGCAGATATGCAGTTGAAATGCTCAAGTGATTATTCAAATTTTTGACCATTGAGTTATCAATAATGGCAGAAGCAATACCTTTTAGTTATGTTCCTCTTTGATCAAAAAGTGAATCGCAACTAACTTTCCAGTTTTTGGTTCTGAAACATATTCAATGTGTCTAACTAAACCAATTGCAGCTATACCATACAACAGACACGGAATTCCTGCAACAACAATAGCATATCTGATTAATATCTTCTGTCACAATATACTTTTGTAAAGAGAAACGAATACAACAATCGTATCACATTCACTCGTGAAAATATTGACAAGTGATTATTGCTATTCGAAAATTCAACAAAATGAATACGTAATAAATGATGATGATTTTAGTTAGTGGAGTGATAATGAAAAACAGTCATAGAGAGCTAAAAACGAATGCAAATGGATCTGGCACAATGAAATTAATGCGTGAACAATTAATTCGTTGATTGAATCAATTCAGTGAAAGTCACAAATCGAATTGATTATACTGATCGATAATGAAAAGCAGTCAGCTTGGAATGTAAAGCATCAATCGCATAACACCAAAACATACCCAAATTAATGACTGTTATTAGCTTGAAGAGACAATTTTCTGTATCGAGGTTCTGATATGGTCGTTTAGTGCAATGGTATTTGATAAACGGGAAACAACCAACTCTGTACAACAAAAAAAATAATAACTGCACAACTATTGAAAATCGCACAATAAGGCGCATTTACAAAACTATATTCATAATTGCAAAGAACTTACAATACTGAATGAAGTAACAAGCAAGAGTGACATTCTGAACGTGCTCAATTGAAGATGAAGTTAGTAAACTCATTCAGAAATTCAAAACGATCACAATCAAATTTTTTTTTTCAGGAATGTGACTGAATACACTGACAAAATAAACTACATACCTACGAGCAGCGCTATGAAAACAACATGTATTTATCAGTAGTGTGGTGCGAGAACGGTAAAGAGGCGGAGACGAGCAAAATTGGGGACAAAATTTTGCAGTGGGGGACCCCGAAATTTCCCGATGCCCGCACTACACTACTTTAACGAAATCAACATGAGTGACTACATTATGAGCAGAAGCTGTGATTAGTAAATGACAGTAACGAGACTCACCTTAGAATATGATAATTATGACCATCTACGTCAAAATTAAAATGTTTCTCACCGAAATTATCGTCTTGGACCTGTCTAAAAAGCATAAATTAAGCAATGAGGAAGTGGCATCAATGATGATCAATTACACAGAATGAACTTGAATGAATAGCATCAGTGCTTGTAAAGTCACGACCGTTTTTCGACCGCGGGATTCAGAAACGACCATGAATGAACGAGAAACAAAGCAGGTGTGATGAAGGCAGACGAAGCAAGAGGAATGTGATTATGAATTTTTTTTTCCACTACTTTCGGAAAAAAGAAAACCGAGTTGCCTCTGGGATGTTGACAACAAACATTACTGAATATGCACGAACTTGATGAGTAATTCAAGATTGCCAAAATCACATAAAATATCGTGTTTCATCAAGCCATTTACCTACTAAACGATCATCAATCAAACTATATCAATCAGTATTAGATGCATCATAATAAACGAGTAAGTTCAATGTCCAACTAAATGCATACATATTATTCGATATCAGCTAACGAATTGAAGTTATCACTGTGGAGAGTTTTGTCAATCAGCTTTAATTTCAAAACTGTAGTGTGTTTACGGTGATATAATGTGACCATCTGATTTCCGATCAAGAGCCTTATGTCATTTGAAAGAACTTTCAAGTGTTCATTGTCTGATATGAGGAAGTTAGACGATTCATTATAATTCACTCATTATGTCTCGACTCCGGATGCGCATTACAGTACATATGAATTCAAACCGAAAATTTGCATCACAAACATTATGCCCAAACGGAAAAAAAGCTCAAATTCGAATAAATTCATTTGTTCATGTAGGAATATGGACGAATGAATGAACTCGATCAATAAAATGGAACAGACGGACACTTCTAATAAACCACCGCTATTAATACTAACGCCAGACGCATCGTTCTCATACGGATTAAGCACGAACTAAAAATAGCTAATTCAAACTGAATGCACTAAAATATGTGGTACATTTGATGGTGTACGCATAAAATGCTCTTGATTAGATAGTAATCGAACAGTTCAGTTCAGGTGCTTCGTATACGTAATACAAATCCCAGCACGTGTATTAAAGATGATTTGAACTGTTGTTGTTGTTGTTATTAACGACACGATGATGATATTATTGTTGTTTGTAATCGTGCGATCGATTAGCGCGCAACGGCAAAAACGTAATACGAATATATGTTAAGGGGTGGTGGCACTATTCAACGATGTTTGTGCTTTCTTATGAGAGAGATAGATAGATGTTCAGATGGCTGTTTTCGTATTAAAGTCTCTTGTGTAGTATTAATAAAACATTCATCGTTTACGTATAACCACACACACACACACACACACAATATATGATACGTGTTGTTTGCATGTAGTTGCTATACACTACACATATGTTTCTGATGAAAATGAAACAATTTCGAGTAATTTGACTGACACTTTTTTGGATTAAATAAACATTTTGGGGATTCACTAGAGGGCTATTACGATTATTTTTTAAAATATTATAACCAATGTTGCTGTTCGAGGTGAACAATAAATAGATGAGGATACTAAAATGAGAACAAGAAAATATGTCACCGATATTTTATGAAATACGAAGTCCATGACGGATATTTTCGTTTACGAATATAGGCACGCAGGACGTCCGATGCCAGTGGTCGATGTCGATAGAACGGATTGAGAATACGACGATACGGTTCAATAAATAACTTATAAATTAGCATTCAACAGATGTTGCCTGCAAATCACTGCATAATGAGAGTTTGTCTCATTGTCAGAGTAAAGAAAGGTACTCATACGGTTTTACAAACACACACGGGTATATTTAACATACAAACCTAAGCACACATGTAAACATAAGTCTAAGCCAGATTCGAACGGATGAATGTGAAATGTACCCATACGAGCTTCAAAAGTTGATGCAAACGTATAAGCTCATATGATAAATGCCCGTTGTGTACTTTTGCTTGCAGCTTTTGACATTTCAGTCAGAAAGACTTGCAATTTACATTCAGAACCGTGTTAAAAAAAGACGTTTAATAGCTACACTAGCATTTTGCAAGACTACGTTCACAGTGAGAAGAATTTCAAAGCAGAGTACTTGTTTTGTGATGAGGCGAGTAATTATGCACAGCATTTGTGGGTTAACAAAGATAATCATTTTGAAAAATCACCACTTCCACTAATCCAATTAAAGCCTGGTATGAACCCAGTAATTGTTGCACTGAAATATCTGTTTCGAATTCCTATTAACAATCTGAAGGGAAGAAGAAATTCAAGCATTCGCAGTTGTTGTTATTCAGCACATCAGCAGACATTCTCGAATGAACACAACAAGTTGCAAATCCAGTGCTGTTTCTCAGCTATGACCATCAAAACGTTCATCAAGAACAACCCCACCTTATTTCTACTAAACCGAACCCTCTCACCTAATGAAGCATGTCGTTTCATAATCTACAATAAGTTGATATTTATACGTTGTTGAATTGGAAAGTTGCATTCGCATATGTCAAATAAATAACAGCAATTGTCCCCTGACCAATAAATACATTTAACTGCATACAATTGCGAAGGCAGAAAACAAAGAGCTTGTTTTATTACAGCACAATTCATCCATTTGTTGCTTAACCATTATAGCAACAACACCAATCATAATAATAATAGCACGTATTCGTCCATCACACATACATTCAATTCAAATTCGTTTCTGCAACGAAAGCCGAACACGATGATGCACCTGCAAAATATTCTTCATTGCGGTAATTACGCATATGCATAGAGACTGAAACAATATTACGTTGTCTGTTATTATTATCATCACCTTTACAAAAATATTCAGTCTTAGTGAATAAGTGATAATGCACATATTCGAAAAACTTAAACATTATAAAGCTAACATTGCAGCTTTTGAAGGCTTATGAAGAATAAAAAGATCACAACCGATCAATAAACACTTAATTCATTTCGAACTATTAGTCAATGTCTAAATAAATCGGTATATACGCATATGCATACGTTACGGTGACAAATTTCTGTATGGAAAGAATGAAACTCTAAAAAGAAATGAAATGCAGCTGTGAAAAATAGATGTTCCGGTCTGAAAAAAAAACTTTTGTGAAATCCTGCTCAAAGACAACTGATCTGAAAGGTTGCTGGATGGGAACCCTTTTCGTTAGAGATCCCATAGTGCACGAATATCTACTTTCAGAGGTTTCTTAGTCACACCCTTCAAAACTGTGTCGTTTTGACTTTGAGCAGCCTCTGTGGGTGAACCAATAAAAAATGTCACGTCATTTATTATGCATTTAGGCAATAAGACACGTTGACCCAATGACCATTCAGAATAATTTCTTTGCAGCGAATCTTTACCTACTGCTTTTTGATTAGAGGGTTGTTTTTGAAGGATGAGATCTTGGAAATTCTGAAATCCGAACATCACGTCTTGGGTGAGAAATAAACTGACCCATCTACCGTTTTGAAGATACCCTTTTCAAAATGAAATTTCGTATACGTTGTTTCAAGACCAAAAGGCATATTCTTCTGATCTGGGACCTCATTGATTCTGATACTCGAAAATATTTGTCATATCACGTATTAGTTGAGAAATACACTGTTTTATATTGAGAAAATCTTTATTGGTGAGTGATATGATAGTTCAATTGATGAACAACAATGGAACACAACGCATTGACAAAATTGTAGCGATCTGATTGTGAAAGATATGATCATATTAATTCAGTGAAAAACATTAGGATATGAACTGAAACTGATAAGCAGTAAATAACAAAAATGTTAACGATCAAATAAATTCAGCTAATTGTAAGTGAACAAAGGAATTACTCGATATATACCTATTCTTAAATGATATCAAATATAAAAATACAATTTAATATACTCAAAGAATGGAAAAAAGCACATTCTAGTGAATGAAAAGAACACGGATTTTGCCATGTTAAACACAGTGTTGAGTCTTTGAAACTGAGTTGAACTCAGATTGCACGAAAACCGTCGATTTAATTGATGGATACACAGGCACATCGTTTTTCGAAAAATAAAACAAACATGATAATGGTTGACAGATAAGAAAATCCATAGAATGCGGAAAAGTTTTTTGAAAATAAATTCATAGAGTTATATGGCTTAACTACGACATATTTTTACGTATAATGATGACAAAACAGCAGTTTGAGGGAGGGGAAAAATGATCGAAGCGCGCAATCGGAATGGAGAATGCTCTCATTAAAATTATCGTATTGAAGTAGCAAACGGAAAAAATATATATATATAGGCATTTTTCAATTGACAAGTTTTCGATGGGAACTTATCGACCAAGCAACAAATGAATGAAGAACATCATCCCACTGCAAACGAATAAATTAGGAAATCTTTTCAAAACGGTACCATTGCCGAACACTACAACTAAGTGAAACAAAGTCAATTTTAAAAATAAGTGAAAAGATGCTGTACGGAATATGGATGATAATAATTTAGGAAAAATAAGACGATTCAAAACAGTATAAACAGAATGCAACAAATACAGAATAAAAGTGAAATGAAACAAAGAGTTACTTTGGGAGCAAAAATGAATAAATTTTAAAGAACTTTCAAAAGAAGTGAAATTATGAAATATGAACGAAGCAATATTGAGCGATCCATCTCAAATTATGAGATTTTATGATCTGCAATGAGTCTAGAAAAAAAGGTAAATGCTAGTCTTACTGAGCATATACTGTCCAAAAATTATAAACCAGACTGAACTGACTGCTGAACAATGTAAAAAAAATTAGTTCCTTCAGCAAAATCACTATTCATATGGTGACAAAATACAAAACCATTTGCAAAATGTCGTATCCTCAAAGGTGATACGATGTTATGTGACGACAGAATAAAATCACGCTTTCAGTTGGCATCGTGCAAATTTCCACTGTTCTGTTTGCACATCAAAATCCCATTAAAAACAAATCTGAATCGCTCTGAACAACCACTTATTTGGCCCTATTCAACGCATCTAATAATAAATACATCACAGCATGAAGAAAGAAAATATCATAAAACAATAATTATCAATAATTTACGCACATATTCATAACTCAAGATGGAATATAATGAATGCACACCGTCCACTTATTGAACAACAGCAAACGAGTCAGAGGCGTTTTGTGATGAAAACACCAGTGCTCTGTAATCAGCAGTAATGATTAAGTCAACTTAAATGAACCGTATCTGATCAGAAGTATTCACGTCTCCCCCCGTGGATGTTTCAGATAGTATGGAACGCCTGAACCCCCGTAAGATGTTGCAAATGGCAAGGGAGGGTAGAGTGTAGCAATAACAATATCACGTTTTGGCAATGAATTCGTTGTGGGTAGGAGAGAATATGAGCAATGCTTGATTTATTCATCTGTTTCTTTGATACCTATGCTGGTAAAGCGGGGGTGCATTCGGATTGTTGCTCGATGATGTGTTGTTGACATCTGGTTGTGTGTGGTCCAGTATCACATCCTCATCGGAATCTTGATCACTCGCATCAGAACCATTATATGCAGCTGCTGGTTTGGACGTTCCTTCGTGAGCACCCTTCATTGTGGCTCTCTCTTCAGAAGTCGCACTCCAATCCGAAGTACGAGTATGTGCGCCTCGTTGCAGCGTGTTCCGCTGATTCGCTGGTTTCACTGTTATTATAAGGTTTTGAGCATTCGCAACCATCATGTCGGTTACTTGATCAAGACTTTTACCTTGAACCTAAACGACAATAATAATGATAATAATAACAGAAGCTGCCATCCGACAAACAGAATACACGAAAAATTCATCGAACGATTCATCTGAAAGTGACGGAACAATATTTAGCCTACCTCAATGCCGTTCACTTCCAGAACTTCATCATTCACAGCCAATAACCCAGTTGATTCAGCCAAACCGCCTTCAACCAGACGACTTATAAAGATACCTTGCACCTTCACCACACCCTGTTGTGTTACACGCACAGACGTGCCTAAATAATTGCTAACTGTACATAAATCTTGTTTTATTTCCGTTTTCAACTGAAACATCTGAGTTATCAATCGTTTACCGTCTCTAATGTAGAAGCCAAGCGGACGATCACTACCATGCTTGCATAAACGGACCCGTCGATGTGCTTCAGGTACTATGTCCACATCGATGATAGCTGATACCTGTAATATACATATAATCAATCAAACAACCATTCATAACTAACTATAAGCAGAATATTTTTTGGAACATTTGAAAGTTTGCTCTCAGAATAGAGGATCTGTTTGGCTGAAATCAACAATAGTGTAAAAAGAGTGAATGAACTCAAAGCGACCAATTGCACCAGTTCGTAAGGAATAGATTCTGCACACACGTCATGACTGCTCAACAATCCACAACAAACCTGTCGGAAATCTTCCGGATTCGAGATGTTGTAGGTTCGTTTCGGTGGCCTTGCTACAGCTGGCAAAATGAGCATCGACAGTCCCTTACGACGACGATCAATTGTGTCCGTACCATAGCCGTACTTTTCCTCCCAAGATTCACCTTTTCGCTGGATAAGAAGTCGCAGTGTTGGACGTGCTGATTCGAATGATTTGCGGAAATTCTACACGAAATGAAGATATCATGCGCGAAAAATAATAACGCACATAATGAGCATGATAAATACATCATATATGCTCATGCAAATGAGTTTAGAAACAAAATTAATAGAGATGTTTGCGTTTAGCTGAAACTTCTGAAAGAATAATTTAAGAATGTGAGATTATAATCGAATTTAACACTATGATAAACGCGGAATGCAAGCGTGTCAATGCTAGACGAATTAAAAACAACAACAAAAAACGAAGTGTGAACAAGGAAACAGAATGTAGAATTTAAAAACACTTCAATACCTCATCATTTGTTATCGGTAGCAAATCACCAGCAGCACTCGTATAGCAAAGGGTGAATGGAATATTGTGCAGTGAATGCAATCCTTCCACTAATGAACGAAACTCATCGTATGACGGTGATTTGCCATCTGGAAATGGTACCGAGAAGCGACGCCACTCAGAATCAAACTTCGACTTTACCTGAACAACAATACATCAATCCTCATCAACACCATCTACTTCACTTGACGTCTTTCAATACCACATAATAACGCAAGTTTTAATTTAACAATCTATTTAAATGCGAACAACGTATTCATCAAAAATAATAAAATTTTTAACAAATAAAGTGATTTCTTATTCGTTCGTTACCCAACTTTTTAAATTGAAATTACCTGCAGAAATGGTGGAAGGTGAACAGGTAGAGGTTGATAAATTCTTGCCGTGCTATTACGACCGTTCGACTGAAATACAGAACAAAAGTTGTTGCAAAATGATACCTCATCATTTGTTATCGGTAGCAAATCAAGAGCAAAGGGTGAATGGAATACTGTGCAGTGAATGCAATACTTTTCATCAACATTTTCATATACGAGCACACATAAATGTCTCATAAAGAATCCAGACTTTTTCAAAGCCAACAAAATAGTGTAATTGATGAATGATTAGGGTCAGTATAACACTTTGAACTGGTTGTGAACAAGCACAGTTTGTAACATCTCATGTGTTTGTTATAAACTGAATTCGACCAGCTGATGGAAAAGTGCAGTTCATATTTTTGTGTTTCGACTTTCCTATCCGAGCGGCTTCACTCGTATGAATATAAACTCAGTGATGACAGAAGAGGAAAACACTTTCCTCGGGCCTACTCTACATTAATACAGTAGTCTATTTCTGTATGAGCTTCTATTCAATCCTGAACTCATCACCATTTCACAAACTAGCTTCGACGAGAATCCGCCTCAGGCATATGCGTGTCTACAAACGAAATAGAACATCAAAATTGATATCTGATACACCATTGAGCACACCAAATGAAATTCAACTTCTAACTCACTCCAGAACTACGTTGTCCAGACGATGGTGAAGAGCTTGAGCCACCATAATTCGAGGATGGCAATTGTCCATCTGATTTGCAAGACATTTCTGGAATGCTCGCATAATTTTATTGAAAAAATTTTACACCGATTTGCGCAACAGAAAATCGACACTCCTCTTGACAAACACCATTATTTGACTATCGATTATAGCCAAGTTATAAAATGTTAATAAAAATATTGTCTAAAAAACTGTGAACGATCAGCTAGGACGACAACTCGCTAAGACGTCAAACAATTAACCTGAAGGAGCACTCAAATCATTTGCAACTAATTTTTGAGAAGTTGTCTCTCACAGAAAAAAAACGTATTTGTTAACCTAAGTAACCGCAATTATTCGACACCGAAATACGAATAGATAGTAACCTCCCAACGAACAAATGCGAACAGTAGTAACTTGATATTAGTTGCGATAATCAGAACCGATGATAGAAATAAAAATATTCCGAGCTATAGAGAAAGTGTTGAAAATAAAAAAAGGAAGCAACGAATCGATAATACGCTAGTAAACGGAAAAAGACCGCTGAATGAAAACTGAAACATCAACTATCATTGGGCTTCCAATATTTTATCACTTCAAAGTGGTGAATATTAACAAAAAACGATTAAAAAATCAATGCAAACACCTCCAACAACAACAATAATAATAATAAGAAACGATGAAATTCCAAATTTGGAGAAAAAAGCCGAGTTATATAAAGAACTCAAATCATTCCTTGTTTACAACGAATGCAGCTAATAAACGATTTTGAAATTATGCGCATAAATTTCCAAAAAAAACCTCCTTATTATTCATTCATTCTAAATAATTGGATTCGTTGAATTATTTAGAAAACAAAAGTTCAATGCTTTCCTAGCTGATTTTTGCGATAAAAAGGGCATAGTTTTCATTTGTGTGATCATAATGCAAAGTTCCAGGATAGCATCTTTCTAATGCCATTTTTTTGAATATTAAACGAAAAACTTAATATCCTCAGTAACTATTCATATTTGACGACTGAGATACTATAGGGGATAAAATCTGTTAGAAAAGAAATACTAAAGAATGACAGCCATGGCATGAAATGATTCCTTAATATGTCAGAACAAAATATCCTATGTATTACAGCCCTTCATATATACATAAAATTATAAATTCTTCACTTTGTCACATCCGAAAAGCAATTTGACACCAATAATTTGCGATAGTCAATGTGTTTTCTTGAGCACATGTCTCGATACAATAGATTATGACGTTTGCGATCAATATAGACCTATTAAGGCTCTTCATCGCTGTCCTCGATATCCAGATCTCCCAAATCCTGAAGCTTGTAAATCGTTTTGAGGATTAGTGAAAACCATCAACATTGTAAAATATTCGCGACATATATCACCATCGCATTAGAATTCACCTAAACTAACTACTGTGAACTTTCACGGATATGTGAAGATAAGTTTTGAAAAAGATTCTCTATGGGCTTTTTGAGATTAATCGATATTTTGAATATCCTTGACGGATCAACGGCAATAAAAATATATTACAGGCGACCAGTAATCATCTATCAGTCAAATGAAACAATTAAAATGGCACTCAAAAATGAATTCACCTCTTCGAATAAACTCTCGTCAATTTCAACGGCATCATTTTGCATCAATACCACATCAGATAAACTCAACGTTGCATCCCGAAGGAACAACTGACGTCCAGTTAATTTACCCATCAAAGCGGCCGCATCTTGCACCTATTAAATTGTCACGGTTTCACTTTACGGTTACCTTCAATCTCTACTTGCAACTTGTTTCGAGTACAATATACCACCTTTTTACCACACCGATTCCTAATTCTGTGGTCCTATTCTAAAATTATTACAAAGAAACTTAACTGGATAAGGTGAGCTTCACTGGAAATTTTTACTGCAATTTGACGGATTTTCACTGATAATTTCAGCAAGTTGAATGAACGCTAAGAATTGTGACAATCAGCCATCCAAATGGACCTTCTTTAAGAAATCCATCGAAAAATGTAAAAATCAATGAAGGAACATAAAAACGTAAATTTCCTACATTTTGTTTCTCTTTTAATGCAATTCGTTCCTCATCGAATTTTTTCTTCCAGATCATAAACGATTCGTGTGTTACCCTGGTACCTCAAAATTGAACGTGTATCGAATATGAGAAATACAAAGCGACAAAATATTTTTAGAGTAATCAACAGAGCAAAAGGAATCATATTTCTGAGTAGAAACTATTGTGTATGAAGGGTAAGAAAAATAATTTTACATTTTAAAAATGCAGCATATAACTACATCTCAGTCCATATTGAACGTAACTTCGTTCACTAAAGCAGTATCAGCTCATCCGAGGAGAACGAAACAAAAACCTTCGAATTTCTTTCTCGTCAATGCTTCCTCCTCTTCTTTTTTCCTCTCTTCTTTACGCAGAGCTTCCAAATTCTTCTCTTCAATGAGACTTCCCATATGATCCTAAAACGTCTTTAAAATAACAAGCAGTCAAATATCTTCAGACGATTCAACAAATTCACGTAAAAGAGAACTCGATTCAAAAAAGCATTTAGTCCATAAATTGGATTCAAGCAAAAATTGTTTACCATGGTATTGATTTGGCGCATAGCACTATTCCGCTATAGATTATTCTGCGTATTAGTAAAGACAGGAAAAATCAATAACCTTATAAAACAAAAAATTAATACTGAACCATCTGCATCAATACCTGTAACGACGAAACAATGGTGAACACCATCGGCATACCGACGTTCTCACTAGCAATTGTTTTTAAGTCGTCTATTAACATTTCGATACGTTCTTCACTAAACATTTCATCAAGTCCAATCAAGTCGATTTCTGGTATTACATCCGGATAGTCTTTGGGTAACCTTAACAAAAGGACCACTGTGAAGGATTCTGCTCCAGATTCTCCTCCATCGGGTAATGCATTCGGCGTTTCCTGCAATCAAATGCCAACGCCATCGGTGAACACAACAGACAATATGTACTGTGAATGATGGCAAAATTGCAGATTACAGTTGGGGACTGAAGATTTTTTTCGGTGGCCATCAACAAGGCAAATTTCGAGCATCTGTCGACTTCGGTCGGTAGACACCGAAGCAACTCTAACACATACACATTCAAAAATCACAAAAAGCCATGACAGCAAGAAGTTTTCAATACGGCATCCAAACAAACACACATGTAAAATAGTGGTAAATTTCTGATACAAGATAATTCGAAACAAGTAACTCTAAACTAAAAAGTAATAAATCTGTCACTTAGGACTTACGGAAGCAGTATTGGACCGCAGATTTATCTTGAATGTTACATTCGGATATTCTCGATTTTCCACTTCTATTTCGCCCGGATATATTGCTTCTAGCGCTTCAAGTTCTTCCTTTTGTGTTTCTTCTTGTGCCATCATTACCCATAAACCATCTGTAACAGGTCCATTCGTAAAACTGGCCATTTCATCAAGCAATCGAAAATAGCTCGAAAGCAACTAGAGCGTTAGAAAAGAAATCATTTATACCCAATCGTAATTGCTGACTAGATGAACACAACTAATCAAACTGTTCCAAAAAGTTGGGCTAATCCTATAGTTCACGTCAAGGAAAAAGGGGGTGGGGTCTAACACATTCAGAACACGCGTCATCCATGGCATGCATGAAGACATTGTGCCACAGCTCTCTCTGCATATTAACAACTGATTTCAACTTTTCAACTGAAATTAATTCAGTTTGAGTAAATAAGCATGATCTCAGCTAATTGTGATCCATGCAACGAGAACTAAGCCAACGATAAACACTAAACAATAGCTGGGTAGAGTTAGGATTCATATTAAGAATATAATCAATTCACCTGAGGTGAAGAATAGGTCGATTGCAAATTTATACTCACTGAAATGAAACAAAACTGAAGAGTATTGACCTATTCTGCAGTAAAAGTCATATGCATCTAATACCAACTAAAACGGATCCGTGCTGGATAGCATTTACCGTTAGCTTGAATACGATGATCCTTATATTTCTACTCTATTGTGTACATTGATCCATACAGACACAGTGTATTAGAATGAGCCACTCAGTTACATGAGATGGCTTCAGAAAATCGTTGATATTACTTTTAGCGAACAAAACCCCTCGACAACACATACACGGCTCGTGAATCTCTGAAACATACGAAATCCAAAATCGGCTATATCTCCTCAAGTGAGCAAAATCGCTCGACAATATTCGGGAAAACATATATTTTGCCGAGCAATTCTGCTTTCTTGAGGAAATATGGCTCAGGCTGATTATGATATCAATGAACAGCTTCTTACAGAAACAATCAGATATCGTTCCTGATAAATCCTTGTGTTCTAGTTTTCAGCA